TTAGTTTGAAGAAGTTCCCGATATTCAGGCTCCAGTGATTCGGTGAAATAAAGTCACGGGTTACAGCCCGACCCCCTATGTTCTCCACATACTTCAAAATGACCGACTATACAAAAGATTGACTAACACATTGTCCAAGTTCATTGAGTTTCAGGGCGCATCTTGCTGTCCAAAGCAGATGTGGGTGTCTAAGGGTGTCCAAAGCAGATGGGGGTGTGTTCCTGAATGTACCTGTAATTAATAAAGTTTCCACTCTTTGGACTTTGTCAATGGTGAATTAAGCTCTTCCTAGAGTGTGCAACCAAACCAACCCTCCATAAGTCAGAATCGGACAGACAATAGAGTCATATAACGTTTTCATGATGTGCGGCTACAACCATCAGATCTTTCCTATAGAGTTTCTGCAAAAGTAGAGTGCTATTAAGCCCCAATTAGCGCGCACCACGACATTCCTCTTCCAGTTTAGTCGCTGGTCGAGGATAGTACCGAGATAATTGGCTTCAGAGGAAAAACTCAACGTGACTCCATCCAGCAATGGTGACGAAAACTCTAGGAGTTTCCGCTTCCTCATGAAGAGAACGAGCTGTGTTGGAAGGGCTTTCGCAAAGCCCATTGCCACGAGCCCATTTTGATAATTTCACAAGAGCTCCTTGCATTAGGTCCGAAATAGTTTACAGGAATTTCTCAGCAATCAGCAGAACCCCATCGTCATAGTAGGACACGACCTTAGTTCCGGTTTGTTAGTATTAGTACAGTATTTATCACCAAAAGCCCTTGAGGAGAACCACTGGTCACTGATTTCCTGACGTAACACTCCCTCATGCTTGAGTTGAGGATCATAACATCGATCCGATTAATGAGGAGTAGTGGTATACTCAGGTTTTTGAGAGAATTATGAATTGTCTCAAATGTGACATTGTTGAAGGCCCCTTCGATGTCGAGGAAGGCTCCTAAGGTGAAACATGAGCTATTGTGGTTTTTATCGATGTAACCCACGACGTCGTGCTGCGCTATTTCAACGGATTTTCCTTTCATATAGGCGTGTTGGGAAGTGCTTATCTAATCCCAGCATCTATAAGTTAAATATCAGTAGAAAAGATGAAAGACTAAATAGGCCTGTAGTCCTAGGGGAGTGAATGAATTGGCTTCCCTGCCTTGGAAATATAAGTGAATGCACAGTGATATTACGTGCGTTAGACGCAAGCAAGCCTTAAAGATCACTTACAGAATCGGTACTATTACCGCCGAAGCATGGTGGGGTCCGGTCCTGGTGATTTGAAAGGTTTCAAAGTGTCAATGGCCCATGCGATTTTGGGAATGCTTGCAATGCTGTTAATCAACGCTGTTAATCAACGCTCAACGAACGCTTGACGCCTCTTTGCAATTCGGAAATTAAATACTGGCCAACAGATTGAGGGTCTCTGGGCCAGAGTTAAGGGGAGAATACGTAAAACGCTTTTTTGAGTGGCTTATGTCATCGGATGGCTTCTTCGTATAGGAACAAAGGAGTTTTAGGTTAGCTTAGTTCGATTTTGGCCCACGATCCTTTGTTCCAACCGATGACTTAACCCAGATCTTGTTGGTCATGTTGTATAACTAACTTTTGACCACCAAACCGGTTAGTATTTCTTGCCAGGGAATGTATGCGGACAAGCTTTCTCATAGCATTCAAGTAAGGCATTTGTTAAGAAATTTTCTGAATCCTCTACTCTTGAGGCTGAGTCGACCAGTATATTGCCTTCCTTGGATTCCTAGGGGGTTTTTGATGAAATCCCTCCACAGAAATTTGGAATATGATCCTCCGGTGGTCCGAGAACGAACATTTCGAGGATACTTTCCAGTTCTGTATGAGTGATTTATCCATATTCGTTAGGGTGAGATCAATGACCGCCACCATATCCTTATTCTGGAACGTAGCCTCATTTCCCCTATTACATATTTTGAGATTATGTATAAGAATAAAATCAAAAATGGACTCACCTCTGACATTGTTATCCTTACTGCTGCTTCCTAACTCCTACTGCAGCGGCGTGGACGCGCCTGACGGTTATCCTGACCAGCGGTATCGGCAGATACCTTGATGGTCAGACCTCCACCCTCCGTACATGAACCGACTAATCTCCAGTTGTCTGTACAGAGTTGACATTCGGATTTCCTAATACTGTCAGAAAACGTGTCGGGTCCATCAAAGGTGGCGGTATCCCTGCAACAATATCTTCCTGCATGGTATTTCCTTTAGGTATACAGCCGCCAGCTCACTTCCTTCCCAAAGTCCGTGAAAGCCAGCTACTGTGGTGATGAGGAAGTTTTTAAACTCCTCATTTTCACATCTTCCCCAAGAAAGACTAGCTCCCTCATACGGTCAGTAGACGCCGACTTTCGCTGATGTCGCCTTCACACTCTGCAAGGTCGATGACTACTAAACGGATGTTGTCCGGGTAGACAGTCTGGAGAAATTTTTTTTTGTTGCCTCTGTGGCTCGAGGGTTGAGTGGACAGGTGGACTTACTTCTTTACAAGATCGATTAGTAGAGAAACGAGCACCTTCTCAAGGGAACACTATGGCAGTAGCGTATGGTACTTTTCGATCTTCCGCACTGCCTTAAGGTTCGCCTTGATTAGAGTATTTTCCCTCTATGTAACTTGAGAGGGATCGCGGTCGATGAATTTCTACAGTACTTCACCAACCGTTTGCAACCCCTCTTTGGTTTTGCCTCCTTTGAGCCGGAGTCACCGCGGTTGTTTGGGATATAGGTAGGTGTAGTACCTCTCACATCACCTTCCACAATGGCATCCTGCATCTGGAGTTTAACCGCATCGGTGTATGCCGATGGTTTCCCTTAGTAGATATCTGACCTTTCCAGAGCACCGAAATGAGTGTTCCCTGTGGTTTTGGATTGACTCAACTCTCTGAGATGAGGGTATGACGCTAACGTCGACTTCCTCATCAGAGAGAGGTGAACCATTTCCAAAACCAGAGGGAACGCTCTCCTGGCTGAGACTCGGGTTCGTGAAGGGCGGGCAGCTGTTCGCTCTGTTTCAGCATGCTTTCGCATACCACGTCTCTGTACGTAATTAGAGTCTCGTCCCCACCCGCATTAAGGATCATAGATGTGTCCCCGTCATTGGCAGTTGAGTTGTTGTCGGGAATTGTGTTTGTTTTTGTGGCGAAGGTAATTTTTCTGTTCTCCATAAAAAGTTTGTTTTGTGGAGGTGACAATGTCCGCCATGACGTAGCCTCAAATACAGTCGGTACTCTGACTGCAAACCTTAGAACACTGATGGGCACGGTATACGTAACACCCCAGCGTTGGGGTGTCCACTGCGGTGGACCAATTCGTTCACTGGTTAATTAGGGGGCGTAAAAGCTTCGTAGAGTCCACGGATATCTTAATGGAGTTTACATTGTAAAACGAAGAATGTAAAGTCATTTCAAATAAGCATGTCCTTCTCTGCATTTTCTGTAATTTACTTTGTCATAAAACACTGTGTAGAAAACAGGTTGCCATCTCTGATTTGTGAATATACAATGGATTTGTAAATAAATATTTTGACAGTGAGATGTTGTCTAAGAAAAAATTATTTTGAAAAAAAAAATTGCAAATATATGATTGTATGACTTTACCTTCTTAAAGGTGAAATTACATAAACAGCTTGAAGTCTTCGCATGTCAAATTTTGTGACATATCATAAAGGGATGCCAGAGCCGCACTCAAATGCTGCCGTCGTTTCCCTTTACAAGTTGACATTAATATACCTAGCCATGATAACAAGCTGCTTATGTACACTCACCTCAATTCTACCATGGGAATTTATTTTTTTTTTAAATTTTCATTAAAAAATGAATGATAAAAACGTGAACCGTTTCCATGCACAAATATACCAACTTCATTCGTTTACTTTTCCAGAAACATTTACTCAGTACGAAGTTACTGAGAAAAACACACTTTTCTCCCTCGGGAGAAAAAAATGCAAAAATAAACGAGCAGCATTTTGTAAAACATTTGTAAGATAACAACATTATCCATCAACTAACAACTAAGCACAAATCTAAACAGCAGAAATATTTTGATGATGAAATTTATTCGTTTTACATTTCTATTATAATTACATTTTTATTATAAAAATTAATATTAATAAGCAAAAACCGTTCCCATGCACAAAGATACCGCCTTCAATAAATATCTATTATTCCTGCATCTTCTCTGATTGGTTAAATTTGTTTGTTTACAAAATAACTGATTTTTTTAAATGCTGTAAGCTGTAAAAGCTGGATTTTTAGGTGAACTTACAAGTAAAATATTTATACAAATTATCGAGTAAACGAACACTCCTATTATTGCTGATTTGGATTTATTGCAGAACTGTACAGTACTTTCTGCGAACTCTGATAATCACGATGAATTGACATCTGATTGTCAGATAGTCACGATGAATTGATAGCACCGTTCTACAAATTATTTGATTACTTGATAACTTATATGAGTTATATGAGTGATTCAAATGATATCAACTTAATAAACTCCCTTTTGATAAGAAGAGTTGTATATAGTTAAGTTAAATAATTATCTTTGAAAAAAAGTGATACTGCCTTAAAAAAGCAAACACAATAGAAATATGTCTGAAAAACCAACTGTTTTATTATTGGGAGGTAAGTTACAATATCAAAGGACTACACATCTAGTATGAGTAATTGTTGCTTTTCTTTGTTGTTCACACTATCGGCTTCTAAGATTTAATTGCATATAAATAAACCAATTTACTCTAATGGTTTGAAATTACTCAATATGCATTTTTTTCTCCAAAATACCATTATAAATATAAATCTTTTTAGGCTGCGGCTTCATCGGGCGCAACTTGTTGACATATTTGGTGGACAATAACTTGTCCGCCGAAATACGTGTGGTTGATAAAACGCCTCCACAAATGGCATGGCTGAATGCAAAGCAATCAAAGGCTTTCGAGAATGAAAAAGTGGACTTTTGCAGTGCTAACTTGATAAATGCAAGTAAGTAAGAATTTTTATTGGGATGATTCATAGGGCATGAACATTCAATTTAAAGAAGTAGAAAGCCGCAGAATGTTATATCTTGCCCCGAAGGAATTTATCAGCATATCACAAGCAGACTGCCTTGTGAAAGCATTTTCGTCGAATAATCTAGTAGTACGTTAACTTGATAATCGACACTATACACCTATATTTAAAATAAATTAAAATATAGCAGAAAAATTATTAATAAGTGAATGAACACATATAATATATGTGGTGGTCCATGCTTCCATATACATATCTCTCTTTGAGATAACAATTTATATTTATTTATACAAATCTTAATTTATCAAACATTTATATTGATATATGTAGAACTCAAGAGGTTACGGCTTTTTGCTTAGACTTTGACATAAATAAAAAAAGTATGTTCAGCTCTTAAATACTTAAAACTCTGCCTGATCTTGCATAGAAATTTAGTGCAGATATCTGGTGATCACTTTGCAGAAATTGTCTATTTAGTTATATTACTTTTTTGTAACATTTCGGCAAGTCACATTTCAATCGATAACTTAAATTGTGTTTTCTCGCTTCTTTTATTCCTTGTTTAATTTATTGTTTATATTACCAATATTATAGGTAGACGTGTTAAACTTCATGAGATATAGTTCTTAAAATTTCTGTCTTAGCAAGGCATTTGGTAGATATTCTCTTCCAGAATTTGCAACGATTCTTGCAGGTTCTGTAACATAGCATAGCAAATAATCTATTTTATTCATTTATAACCGTTGTCTGGAATAAATTGTAGATTAAAGCTGGGTCGGCAGAGAGTCGAGATTCTTCGAATTTTTCTTTTACCCTCTGATTACATTGTTTTTCAACATTAGGTCATAAGCCATTATGAATATTAAAGTCTATAAAGGAGTGTAGACTCGGTAATCGAACTTTATGAGTTGTTGTTGTAACCTCAATGTGTGCAATCATTTTGCTCTGCCAACGCTGTGATCCCCTCTGTTCATTATCTAGCACCAGATATTGCCTTCCAAAAGCGATCTAATGTCCGCTATCAACTGGCGAGATATTCACATTAAACACCTCTACTTCGACCGGCCACTTGAGACTAGATCAGACGATATTGGTGTGTATTGCTCATTAACAATAATAAATCGCGATGGGCCGGTTACAACAGATTTTCTGTTTTATAGTCATTCTTGAAAGATAAAAAAAAATAAAAAGTGTTTTAATACTTTACTTTCTTGGCTGAAATAAAGTTATTTGCTTTAGATACATTCAAACCAGTTTTTGCTTATTACTGGGATAAAATGATGATTGGATGTGAACATCTAAATTCGGAAAGATCAAATGGCAAATTCAAATGACAGTCAACCTAGCGATGAGTTCTCTTTTTTTTTTTCTTTTTGAATATGTCTTAAGAAAATGGTTTAAATAGTCTAATCTCTATCAACATTATAAACAAAAGAAGAATTAATAAACTGTGTGTGTCACTGTGATTTTAATGTTAATATATAAATATAAAAGGCTTACCCTACTTGAAGGAAATCTTATCTTGATAAAGAAAAATTCATTTCATATTTTTAAATATTTCTTCATGACCTTACGTAACAATTTTTTTAGATTCTTGTAAAAATGCATTTGTACCACATCCAACAACTGGTCGTTCCTGGGACATAATTATTAACTGTGCTGCTGAAACTCGACCAAATCAAACTGATGCCGTCTATAAAGAGGGCATTCTAAAGTTAAGTATGAATTGTATAAATGAATCTGTGAACGTTCAGGCGAAGCGTTACATTGAGTTAAGTTCAGGTTGTATAAATAGTTCAGAAAAGACTCCACTGAGAGAGGACTGCAAAACGGATCCCTGGACAGCAGTAGCAAAACAAAAATTAAAGGTCGAAAAGGAGCTACAATCAATGGAAAACTTTAGTTATACCATTGTTCGTCTACCAATTGTATACGGAATCGGTGATAAACGGTACCTAAGTAAGTATTTCCCATTGTTTATTTACTCAAGAAATCAAATAAACAAAACAACATGTTGCATATGTATTGGTGGCAATTATCATACCTTGTATTACAAATTTGGAAAGTTAAATTGAACGATGGTATCAAATTAATATCTCTTTTTTAGTGCCTCGAATTATTATTGCTGCCATTTACAAGCATTTAAATGAAGTTATGAAATTACTGTGGAATGATGCAATGCGACTGGCTACAGTTCATGTTGATGATGTATGTGCTGCTATTTGGCAATTGGCTTTAAGTGAGAAGGCTAATCGTGAGATTTACAATATCGTAGACGACGCGGAATCCACCCAAGGTTCCATAAGTGATATTTTAGGAGATATATTTTCCATAATATTGACTATTTCGGCATAGTGATGTCAAACCTTACTAAGGTAAGTAAATAGCTAAGACGGTTTCTAAGTATAATTTTTGCTGAAAACACACAATTTTACTTACAGCTCAGCCTCTCCGATACTGTGAGCGAAATTAACGACAAGCACATGGAACCTTGGGCCGAAATTTGCCAACAAAATGGTCTGTCAAATACACCATTGACGCCTTACTTGGACGAAGAACAACTCTATCATAAACATCTAAATTTGGACAATTCTAAATTAAAAGAATTTGGTTATCAACTTAAACATCCCAAAGTTACCAATGAACTTGTCAAGGCAATAATCGACGACTATGTAGAGCAGAAGTTATTCCCTAAGTCATTGGTGTTTTAATTCTCTACAAACATATGTTCTCAGATCGAATGTGCTGTGCTAGAATCAATAGACAGACTGCACTCATTATATGGTTTTCCATTCACATTTAATATCGGGCAATACCCAGAAGAATTATAAAAAATGTGCATTTGTTGTTGGGCCTTTCAAACAGACATAATAACTGGCATTCCTTTATAGCAATATTTTAGACCTATTTGTTTAAATATCTAAAACACTTTTAAGCCATGACTCCAATTTCAATCAATACCATGTTTGTGGTCTCCTACGGTTTGCCCGACATCATACAATATATTATATAAAATTAAGTATGTATTAAAAAAGACATGAAAAAAAAATCACAGTGTATGACGAGTATGACTATTCGTCCTCCCTTTCCTCTCCTCTAAGTGTACTTATAGTATTACGGTAGTCATTTTGATAGTATTTTTGTCTAGGACTGAAAGTGAAAACTTTTCATAATTGATATTATTCTGGTGTTAACAGAAGACTTGTGGTTCTTAAAAAACTAATATTATTATTTCATTTCTTAAAATAGATATTCATACATGTGTAAGAAAAACATTTCTGCGGATTTTATTTATACGAATAAAAATTGTCATATTTTTGTGCCAAAATTATTAATTTGCTGTTTGTATCGAAATTCTATAGCAATGATTATGAAACAGTTTTATTATTTCAAATTTGTCAGACATAAATCAATGTCGTGGCTTGAATAAAAAATAAGCTTATTTAATAGTGGAGAAAAAATAACAAGGTTAACCAAGAGGTTTCCAAAAACGGATGGACCAATCCTTATTAGTTCTCTAAAATTCTTAGCATTTTACTTGAGATCATTCCTCCAATCATGAATTAATGAGGGGAAACAATGTTTCCAAATATGATGACTCGTTTTTTATAAAAATTAAGCAACTAAACTACTTTTCAATAATAGGAATACAATATATGTGTTGGATGTTGATATGACTGTGGAGCAGCCTGTGGGATTTTTCTCAACCGGTTGAAAAAATCGTTAGTCATAAATGCATTATTCTACAACCAATTTGTAGTTAGTTATAGAATAAAGAATTTATGAATCGACTATAAGTTGGTTGGAAAATCATCTAGAAGTCAACAAATTTTATATAAATTTAGGTCTCACTATAACAAAAAAAAAAAAAAAAATAAAAAAAATAAATAAATAAATAAATAAAAAAACTCGCCAAACTTTTTGAACTCTTCATAGAAAAAAAAAACATATTTTTTCAACTGACTATAAATCGGTTTAAAAGTAATTAGTTTATAGTTAATTTAAAGCTAATGCTGGAATGGACAATCGACCACTGCCTAGTTCATCCCCATGTTAAAGTAGTTGGTTGGAGTAAAGGAAATAAATAAAAAAATTAACAGTTGTGATTTTTAAACTAATTTTAAGTTATCTTTAAACCAATTCATTTCCTCGCAGGTGGCTAACCAACCACTACTAATAAATAAACCTTTGATTGTGAGGCAGTGTTGCCATTTTGGTACCAAATTTGATCGGAAATATTTTTAAAATTTTTATATGGACGGTCCAAATCAATTTTGGTCGATTTCTATCGTAACATGAATTTTAAACCGCCACGATTATTAATTTTTGGTTTTTGCGAAATGCGATACTTGCTTTTCAAATAAGCATACAGGGTAAGGTGAGAGAAAAAACTGCAACAAAGTCAAAAGCCATAATTTTTATTTTTTTTTTTTTTTTTAATTTTATTGAATGAAAGCAAAAAATTTCGGAAATAACATCAAATTTTAGAATAAGTTTAGATTTTTTCGAATTGATCACCGTTGGCACGAATTATGGCCTTCAAACGGCCAATGAAACCGTCACACGCTGAATGTGTCTCTGCAATATTTTGGCCCATTCCCGGCGAAGCGCTTACTTGAGGTAATTGATACTTTGATATTTTTTAGTGCCAACCTTGCTTTCCAAAATACTCCAGACATAATAGTCCAACGGATTGGTATCCGGAGATTTTGGTGGCCATTGTGCGCTGGAAATGACGCGAGGAACCTCATTTTATAACATTCTTGGGTGGCGCGTGCTGAGTGCGATAGTGCTGAGTCCTGTTTGAATGGAGAAAATGGGGAGTACGCTTCACCGACGAGAGTAATCCCCTTGAGTTCATAGAGCGGTTAGAAGAGCGAGCGGAGATGTATCAGATACCCAATAGAGACCTGATCATGATGATGCCAGAAGTCATGGACGTGCACTAATGTGGTTCAGGAATAATCACAAGCCGTGGGAGGTCTTCCGGAAAGATTTCCTACCTCCAAGATTTAAGGAAAACCTCGAGGATGAAATACGCCAGAGGAGACTGAAGCCCCGAGAATTGTTTAAAGACTATATGCTCGCAATGCAAGATTTAATGAGACACAGCGATCACACGGAGGAGGAGAAGGTAAAAAGAATATTCAAGAATGCCCTACCCGAATACTTGTGGTATATCAGGCGTAAAGATTTCAGTGATCTGGCAGGCCTCCTGCAGATGGCCGAAGACCTTGAAGGGATACCTTCCATGGCAACCATGACAAAGGACCACCACCGCCAATAGAACATGCAGAACCAAAGAGAATCACCGAAGCGGTGATCAATCCTGCCACGGCGTGTCGTAGATTTGGTCAGACATACCGATCCTGACAAAGTGGCAGCAATAAGAGAATTATCTGCACCGACTACTCTGAAAGAGCTCCGCCGATTCTTAGGAGTCGTCTCTTGGTATCGATGTTTCGTCCCAGAGTTTGCGACAATAGCATATCCGCTCACTTCCATGCTTAAGAAAGGCAAGCACTGACGGTGGACGAGGACCAACAAACCGTGTTCGAAATCCTGAAGTTGCGACTGACAGAAGCACCGGTGTTGGCATGACCGGACTTCAACGTGCCCTTCACCCTACACACCGATGATAGCAACTACGGGCTGGGCGCTGTTTTCATCCAAGTTCTTGAGAGAACCGAGAGTGTGATGTGAGCAGAGTCCTAAATGGAGTTGAGAGGAACTACTCTGCCACGGAAAAGGAGTGTCTATTTAGAGAGATACTACTTGAAGGTAATCACCGATCATCTCTCTCTGAAATTGTTAAATTCTATTGGGTGGTTAGCCCGTTGGGCTCTCGAATTAAAACAGTACACTTTCTCTGTCCAGTATCGTAAAGAACGGAGCAATGTCGTCGCTGATGTATTGTCACGTCAACCACTGGAATATTTGCAAGAGCGAAAATCGAACCCCAAGAATGTTCCTGGATAGGGAAGAAACTAGAGAGCTTGAAAAAGAACCCGCGAAATTTTTGGACTATGCAGTTTTGAATGAACAGCTATTTCGTCACATTGCTGGAAACACTAATGACGAAGATTATTCCCCGTGGAAGCTGTGTGTCCCAAGTTCTCAAAGAGAAAGGGTTCTACGAGAAAATCATAGCCAGACAACCATTGTAACAGATACTATTGGCCGGGACTGGCGAGAGATATAGCGAAATTTGTCAGAAGCTGCGAGTCCTGTCAGCGATATAAGTCGTGCCAAGTATCACCGGCAGAGGAAATGTTGGTGTCAGCCCCTGAAGAACAACAACAGTTTGTAATATGATGCTCTTTGGGAATATGATGCTCTTGGTATTCTTCGGCCGCTTCTCGATATGGGTGGAATTGGTACCTCAGAGAAGAGCAACCGCTGAAGGAGTAGTGAAAGCGTGTCGAGAGAGGATTCTCGTCAGATTTGGTACACCGATGGTGATTATTTCGGACAACGGCAGTCAATTCGCTGGTAAGGTCCTTGGGAAATAGTTACAGGAATTGGGGGCAACATCAATTCACTGTACCATATTGCCCACAAGAGAAATCCTACTGAGAGAGCCAATAGGACTGTCAAAACCATAATTGTCCAGGTAAGCCACAATAACACAAACCGGTGGGATGACTTCCTACCCGAGATATTCTTGGCTATCAATACCGCCATATCGGAATCGACAGGATATAGCCCAGCACGTTTGGTCCAATGTCGTGAGCCCAGATTGCCGAGAGCATTATACGACGGGTCTCTGGAACAGGTAATACCACCAGACACCAGAAAAGCGCGTATCCGAATTAGTCGGTGCCGCAGAAGAACAATGATGCCATTAGAATCTCCGTCGTTTGTGTGTCGTCGGGTAACAAGTCAGATACCCCACCCACAACAATGAACCGAGGTCCGCCAACACCAGCTAGACGAACGCCCGAAGAGTTACCGACCGAAGCCCAGGGTCCCAAGAATAAACCCATTAAAACTTTTTGAGTGGGAATGGTTGGATGCTACTTCAGGCGCCACGAAACCGGATGGGCTACCAATCACTCCGGGGCAAATCCTTCGACACCTCGCCTAGTAGCACGGTGGTCGGGAGTGCAAGCAGCGATATGGCGTATCTGGACAGCATCCTGGAGGAGAACCCTGGTACAACCGCTGTGGAGCCAACCGAACTACCGCACGAAAGAGCGTGTGGTAAATTCCAGCGAGAACGAGGTCGCCATCTACTTCGTGTGCGAGGAGGAAGTTCCCAAGGATGTGAGCCGAGGACCACAGCCATTCCTCAAAACCGCAACTGGCTCACCATCGTCCTGGGGAGCAGTACAACGGGTGGTGACGGTCCAAGGCTTGAAATACCGTATCCTCATAGGATGCAAAGGACAAAGTGGTGGTTCAACCACGAAGTAGAGGATATCGTGGAACCCCACCCCGAGGAAGAGAGGAAGTGTGACGACGAAAATCACAAGGAGTTCACTTACGCCCACACTCTGAAATTACTTTTGAAATTACAAAGATGTGTTTTTAAATAAAGTATAAAACAGGAGAGCGCGTTTTGTTCTGTTGGTGTTTTCTTACAGAGAGCAAGGACGAGAGAGGGAGACGTCCCTGTTAAATGTTCCCTGATTTATGTTGTTGGGATATTTAAATGGAGGTAAACGAGGTCCCGTTAATCCACCACAAGACACGTGTTTGGACTCCCATATAAAGAGCGATCTAACTTAGAATGGGGACAGTCAGTGCCAGCCACGGAAGCAGCAACATCCAACATCAATTCCATTCGGGGGCATCCTGGGATCGAATCCTTACATCTTTGCACATCCTTGTGTGAGTCCTAACACATCCTGCCTGTAGCTCTAATCCTTCCCAGAATCCTTGAAAACCCGGAGAATATTTGTCCATGCCTCAGTCCAACAACTACCAACCCATCAATCCTAAGTCCACGTACTTATCCAGGTCTCGTATCAACGAACCCCAGGGAGCTCATCCGGACGACGGAATTTAAAATTTAAAAAAAGAGATTTTGTAAAGATTTTGCCAACATTTTTAGTCGGTTATTCTGGGTTTTGATTCTTAGAGACTGACTTAAAATAAAACGTCATTCGAAGACTACTCAAGAACAGCACAGAGAAGCTGCTATCAGACGATAAGAGGTTTACATATGTGCTGCCACTTTTATTATCCATTTCCGTGTGTATGTCAAAATTAGAAAATTTAACATTACATATGCGAAAACATTTTTGTCTGAAGGGTATAAAATTATTTGATCTACATAAGTAGTCAAATTTATTTTTTGAAATTCTACCTTAATATGAGCCTATAACGAGCATGAAATTTAAATTTTTTCGACCAAATATTCTGTCATTATCAAGCCTTTTAGGGGTACAAAAGTCAAGGAAGAATATAATCTAAAACAGAAAACTAAAATTTAGCCTTATAAGAATGAATTTTTGGCTCAAAGTATTATTTTGCGGCGGCTAGGACAAGTA